AATGCTTCCTCTTCTCCTCAGCCAACATGACTCTAGTGCCACAGTGACCAAGAGAGCCACAGTGATTCTTAGCCTGGACAAGAACAAGAGGTTGGTCTTATTTGTCCTCCTCCTCATAAATGACTGAATTATATTTTTTTTTTACATTTCCAAATGTTGAGATGTGTATTTTCCAAATCTGAATGCTTCTGGGAACTGTAGAGCACTCTAAAATGGGTGGCTTTAGGGGTAAGCCAGCCTTACGTCTGGGAGAGACACCACTGTGAGGCCATTGGTAATAGAAGCATTTTACTTTCAGATTCAATTTGATGAACTCACTTCCCCATCTCCAGCCACCACCCTGCTGTGAATATGAAATTAAATGTTGCTATAGATTTAACTCCAATCTCCCAAATTCCAAACACAAGGACTAGATATAGGAAACTAATGAGCATTTTCTTTCTACAGTTTGGAAATTGCTTTAGCCAATCTGTGAACTCTTTCCTGCAGGTCATGAAGTGGGATGAGAGTAAACAGGTCAAGGAGAGCATCTGACAATGAGCAGGTGCTCCTCAACCTCAGACCACTGGAAGCAAAAGGGACATCAACAAGGAGAGCTTAAGGAGTTTAATTCCTAGGGAATGGCCAAAGAACAGTATTGAGGCAAATTCATTGTTCAAAAAACAACCACAGGATTATTATTGTGACCATCACCCTGAGACACTGATCTGGGATCTGTAATATGTACAAACATGGAACAAAGAGTCCAGTGGCATTCATCACACCAAACATGGTAGAATCACAGAATCATAGAATTATTTAATCTGGAAAAGACCTCTAAGATTGAGTTCAACCATCCCCCAGCACTGCCAAGGCCACCACTAACCACGTCCCCAAGTGACATGTCCACATGACTTTTAAATCCCTCCAGAGATGGTGACTCCATCACTGCCCTGGGGAGCCTGTGTCAATGCCTGACCACATTTTTCCTGAAGAAATTTTCCCCAATATCCAATCTAAAACTCCTCTGGTGCATTTTGAGGCTGCTTCCTTTTGTCCTATGTGCTCCCTTTGCAGTCCAGCACAGAGAAATGACCCTTTTTAAGGGGTTTTATTCTCCTCCCTAGACACACATTTACAGGCACACACACAAAATGTCCTCAGCAGTGCCTGTTCACCCCTGCTGACCTTCAAAGGTGTCCAGGGATGTAGCTCAGATGAAGACATCCACACTGCTGATGTCTCAACTCAGGCAAGACAAGTGCTCCTCCTCACAGCTGGGGCCTCTGGGCACGGATTTGCAGTACAGGTGTCAGTGCAGTACTGGTTTTGGACATCCATAGAATCATGGAATGGTTTGGGCTGGAAGGGACCTTAAGGACCATCTCATTCCACCCCCTGCCATGGGCAGGGACAACTTCCACTAGACCAGGTTGCTCCAAGCCTCATCCAACCTGCCCTTGGACACTTCCAGGGATGGGGTGTCATCCACAGTGCATATTCCTGCACTGTGACCCAGTTCAGGGGCAAAATCCAGCTTTTTCAAATTGTCTGGCTTGTAGTTTTTTCCTCCAGAGCACTTCCTCAATCTGGCTGATAGAGCATCCCAACAAGCCAGAGGAAGCTGGACACAGGGATATATTACACTGTGGCAGCTCCTAACATCCTGCAACACAAAACCAGGACCAAACTCTGTCAATAGAAGAGAAACCTTACTCAGGGCTCTCCTATGCCTCTGGCAGCACTCTGCCTTTCCTCCCTCCCTCTTCCTCAAGTGTTGAGAATTCCTGCTATTTATTTTGCTCCCAGTTTTGTTTTCAGCATCAACAACATTATCTCAGCAGAAGGACAATCTTCGTGATGTCACCACACTTTGAAGCCTCTAACACCAAACACTGTCATAGAGACCAATATTTCTGTTTTCTTTTCCTTCTTGTCTCCAAAAATTCTCACCTCATGTCCATCAAGACAAAAATCTTAAAAGTACAGGAATTTTTGAAAAAATCCCTGGGATTTTTTCCCATTTTACGAAGATTTTTGCATCCTGAGAGATGGTTTTTGAATGCCTGAAGTTGGCAACAACTGAGCCACTTGCTAAAAGTCTAACCCTACACCTCTTAAGTCAGTTCTTAAGTACATTTGAGAAATTCAAGAAGTTGTTTCACTTAATTTTGAGAGACAATTTATATAAAATAAAAGAATATTAAGAATCCAGGGAACAAGATGGATATGGGTTGGTAGATGACACCACCTAAACATTGTTGAGCAGTTCTCTATACTTCATTATCTGTCTTGATGAGATCTCCACTGATTTAAGAGATTCAACTCTGGGGCAACCCTGATCACTGCAGTTGGAACTGGCTGCTCCAAGTGACCTAGAAAGACAACTTGGAAGGAGAGACTGGCTCCAAAGAAGCTTTATCCTTCATCCCTCCAATCACCAGATTGCTGGATTAGAACACTAATTGGATCTGATGAGTCCAATACAGCCAAGCTGAAGAAAAGAGCATTAGGAGAAGGAAGGAAAAAACTCATTCATTAGGGCTGGGAGGTGAAGATGGAGGCACAGAGATGGAAAACTGGGCTGTTTACCAACTGGAGCTTTACCAAGTCAAGGAGAACAGAATGGAGGAGTCTAAGGGAAGGGAAAGCAATAAGGATCCGAGTGGAGAAGGAAGTTAGAGAGCAGCAAGAGTAAGGAAAGGAGAAAAATTGCATCATACCCCAGATGACTGCAGAAGGGATGACCACAGCAGCCCCACAGCTTCAAGGGAAGAAAATGGTGTAGTCTTGAGCAAGAAGCAAGATTGCAGTTGAGGTATGAGCAGAAAGAGGGAACCCATGCTGATAATGAGACAAATTTAATTTGGCAGGTGATGGATAAAGGAGGATGGTGGGGCTGATGCCCAAACCAAGAGGTTATTGTCTCAGCATTGGGTTTTCTATGTACAAAGGCAGCACCACACATGGATGATGGGCTGGGCCAGAAGGAAATGGCATAGATGAACTGGAAACAGAGACACACCAGTGAAACAAGAGAGAAAATGCTGCAGAGCACAAGGAGTTTGGAAGGTGGCAGTCAGCAAGGACCCAGCAGCTGCCATGCACACCTGAGCCCAGAGGCAGAGTGATGGGCACTGAGTGCCTCCTTAGAGCATACCATGTCTGCTTCCACTACACCAAAGGCTCAAGGCTGTGCCTTTGGCAAATGGCTCCAACAATTTATGGGCTTGATGCAGGAATTGCTGGGCTAGCTTTCCAGTCTCCAAGATCCTACCACTCTTTTCTGGTATCTGGACTTGGCATCTGTGAATCATTAAAAGAGAAGAGGTGCAAAAATAGGAGCTTTGGAGCAGAGAGATACATATTTTAGAGCTAGGGGCTGCTTCATTTAAACCTTTTAAGCAGCAAACAAGTTTATCGCCAGCTCCTCCAATCTACTGTGGTTTTCCTCCTGCTCCTCACTCCCCACATCAGTTCATCTCTGCGGAGGATCCTGGCCATGCTCCATCCCCTCCCATCCCTCGCCCTGGTTTGCACCGACTTCCTCTGGCTTCTAAATGTTCCTTGACTGCCCT